TTAGGTAGAACAAGTTTAGCCTGGGCAAAACTAGTTTGACCTAAGATCGGATTTTACCGGAACATATACATACATGCATCGGCACATGTAACTTACCCAGTCTTTATTTGACCTGCCACCAAAAAATGGTAATGAAAACGATTTTCCAGCAAAATTGTGTAGATAGAGGATTTTGCTTTTGTAACAAAATGTTATTGCAGATAGTGGATTTTTCAAAATGAGAATATAATACCATAAAAGCAAAATTTTAAGTTTGGCATTATTGTCATGGCTGAAGGATAAATAAGAGCTCACGTTACCATCAAAAACTCATTTTCATCAAAATTGTAGATAGAGGGTATTGAATATAAGCCCTCGATATGGTTTTAGTTTTGTTTTTTTTTTCAATGCTTATATTTTTAGTTTAATAAAATTTGTATTTCCTTTTGTACTAATTTAGTGTTTTGTTTTTGTGTAAGATTCACGAAAACAATTTTATTTTTATTTTTTGATTTTTTTGTTTTTTTTTTTTCATTAAAATATATGTGTTCTTTAGAAAAAGTTCTATGTAGAATTGAATATTCCACTATATTTTGTGTAGTATCAGGGAATTTAAATTCCTTCACGGTTCGATTCGACTGTGCCAATAACATATGCTTGAACTTTGTACCGAAATAAAACAACCGACTTTTGAACTTAAATTCCGACGACCTTGTTTATTCGAAAGTATTATTCAAACAGGACTTAAAACTAGACATGCGCTTATATTTATAGAACTTACTTACGAACGTAATAACTTATGGACTAACGGTGCTTAATAACTAAGAGATAAACTATATTATGCTTGAAACACAATACCTGGCGAACGGCAAATTTCGCCCAGCAGAGCGATGCCAACGACCAACTTTCGCCCAGCTAATTCGCTTACTGAAACACAAATAGAGCGGTATCGAGCGGTTTGAATGCTGTCAGCTGATAAGGTGACCATGTTTCAAGAAGGAAGCTTTTACAACGAAGAGGGAAAATACCAGCAAGAAGAAGTTTAAAATATAGAAATAGTCTTTAAATATAACTACTAGTAAACTTACGTTTTACTAGATTAATCTCTGATGGAAAAATATAAGGTGTATTATTTTACTTTTAAACAAAAATTACGATAACTTTTAAAGTATGGTCATCATGGCCTTTTTTTGTCGTTGCCGTTGACCGCGGCGATAGAAATAAATCTATCGTCGCGAACAGTCGTCGAGCAAACTTCGTCGTTTGCTTTGATTGTGCGCGTTCTCATATAAATCAGTGTGTTTTAATTATTTCGGCGAACATTCGCGACGAAAAATTTGCCGTTCGCCGGTGTTGTGCTTCAGCTTTTACTGGTACTTATGTAAATAAATGATGAGTAGAAGGGAAGTAATTAAAAGAGAAGTAGGTAAGAGAGAAGCAGGGGAGTATTAAGATGTAACTCGTGTGCATAGAGAAAACTTATTTCGTTTAAGAATTTAACGAAGAAATGAATGCATGAGAAATTCTCTAGGAATTTCATTTGATATTATACATATAATATACATTATATATATATGATATACATGATATATAATATACAGCTGCGTGCAGTTAATTAGAAACGAGGTTGTGCATAGTAGGTTACGTAAATATTTTTTTATTTCCGAACTAAAACATTTACAAAGTTTATTTTAATAAACACTACGATATTACGCAAAAAAGAAAATAAAACTTACACACTTTTAGGAATAGCATTCCATGACTTCAAGGTCCTTTCATACAGTTCCTCAAAATTTCCGATTTTATGAGCTGCGATTTTCTTTTTTACATGTTGCCATAAATTCTCTATGGGGTTTAAGTCCGGGCTGCATGAACGCCAATCCAATAAGTTTATATAATTTTGAGAGAACTACTGTTTTGTTGCACCAGCCGTATGCTTCGGATCATTATCCTGTTGGAAAATCCATGTCACAGGCAAAATTTCCTCAGCATACGGTAGGAGAACGTTGTTGAAGATGGAAATGTATTGGAATTTGTCCATTATACCATCAATCGGGTGTAAAGGCCCAACGCCGCGCCATGACATACACCCCCAAAATATTTTGCTACCACCACCATGCTTAACAGTAGGGCGGGTGTATCTGGGATAGTAAGCAGAATTTTTTGGGCGACGTACATACGTTTTTCCATCAGATGAGATTCTATTTACTTTAGTTCGAAAACAACACTCCTTTCCATTATTTAACCGTCCAATTGCTGTATTTTATGGCGAACTCCAAGCGTCTTCTCCGATTTCTCTCAATTATAAGGGGCTTCTTCCGCGAAACTCGGCCAAATACCCCAGCCTCTCTTAATCTCCGTTTTATTGTATCTTTGGAAGGTCTGTTCTCATTTTCACCAAATACGGATGCTCTTATTTCATTTGCTGTTTTTTGCGAAAATTTTTTAGATTCTCTTATTATGAGGCTGTTTCGTGAGCGGTTGTTTTTCTGGATCTACGCTTTCGTGGAACATTTATAAATGTGGAATATCTTTTGAAATGTTGCACAGCATTAAAGCCATCTTTTTGGATATGCCTAAACTGTTTGCAATGGAACCATATGATTTTCCATCATTGTGCATGTGTACGATAATTTTTCGGGTATTTTCGTCGCAACTCTTATTCTTTCCCATGTTTTCCTTTTAGAGGATGATAGATGGATGTTAGATAAATAACAAAATATCAAACAATATGGTTTACCGTTTAAAATAGTCAAATAATATAAAATAATATCCGCGTTTCTAATTACGTGCACGAGCTCTCCTGACGCCAACTAAGAAAAAACTAACCAAGTAACGTTGTAATTCAAGCAAACTGCAAAACAATTTCTATGAATCCTCTCGCATGTATTTCAAGTATTTTGACATTTAATAATCAAAGGCTACTAGAAAGTTCGCGGATTTATTCAAATATATGAAGTGCTGATAACCTCGTTTCTAATTAAGTGCACGCAGCTGTATGTAAATGATAGTTGCGATCCCGTACGAGTCCGGACTAGTCAGAAATAGTCAGAATCAGTCAGATTTTACTGGAAATCGATCCCGTACTCGGCTCTCTGACTATTGAGAGGACAAAAAAGAGAGTAAATATGGTTCTCTCTCTGTCAGAAGTTACCAGTTTTAGTCCGAGAATTTTTTGCTGGTAAATTCTGGTAAATGTGTCAAACGATCAGCTGTAGTGTGTTTGGCAACCAAATTGTATACAAAAGAAAAGTGCAGTCTGCTAATTCATGTTGAAAAGTATTTAGTTACTTGTTTAAGTGGATTCTAATGACTTTGAAAGTATTTTTGGTTATTTAAATTTGTGAGCTGAGTGTGTTTACATACAAAATAAGCAAATATTTACAACCAAAATTTGGAGGTTATGCTGAAGTTGACAGAAGTTACCATTTTTTACTAGAAAGCGATCCCGTACTTTTCAATATTACTCTCTCGCTCTGAGCAAATTTTTATTTTTTGACAGTTTTACTAGTCCGAGTCCGAGGAATACGGGATTGCACCTGATAATATACATATACATACATTCATTATGTAAATAAAGACGCCTAAACGTATACCACAAATCTGTTTCTTTTCGTGTTGTATCTTTCAAGCATTTGTGCAAAGAAGTAATGTCGCAAAACTCATAAACTTCAATGGACAATATCTCAGGTTTAAAACAAGATTTCTCGTTGAGTTAAACAGCATTATCAAGCGGAAATATCTTGCTCTCAAATGGTTTATTAAATTTTCTAAAAAAACGAACTATTCGTGATGAAAATACATGACGAATATAGCTAAAAATCGGGGTTTTCGCATGTTTAGGCTCAAATATCTCGAAAACCTGAGGCAATCGAGCAAAAGTGGTTCTGGATTCAGATTCAGCGCAACAAACGCCTTTAGAAAAGTATAATCTAGTCCCAGGGTCTGAACTTTTTTTAAATTGTGTAGGCCTGTGTTATCATAGTTCAGTGTATGTATAACTTGTTATATTACACCGTAAATGATAATTAACTGTTAAATACTGAAAACGCTAGTAACTTTACGTAAACTGCAGCTCCGGTCCATATCGTCATCCGAGTGGTGAACTTGTATTTTTCTTAGAAATGCAAGAGCACGTGAATTTGTAAACAAACTTTTCTTATAATTTTAATAGATAATTGCTATTTATTTTCTAATATTCAGATATCCAGCTTGTAGCCAGAGGCAGTGGCATGTGAGGCTCACTAAAATCTACTCATCATGTTGGAGCTGCTGGCTGAACGTATGACCGCCATAACCAACGGAGTCTACAAGCAAATGCATGTCCTGAATTTATACAGCAGCTATTCATAGCAATTACTATTGCATATGTGTATGATTCATATTTGTGACATTCTATACTTTGATGTTAATTTTTTTTGTGGAGCTCCCGGTAATGGTCACTTAAACTTGTACTTAATGAATTGTCTGCGCGGATGCGCTGGCAGGCATTGGGGTCTGTATAACTATACAAACATTTTTTTTTTTTGGAATAAAGACTTATGGCCTTATTATTTATTCGGAAATTTAGAATTTTGCTTGATAAATTCACACAATAACACAAAATTCACGTTTTTCATAAAAATATAATCTTACAATGAACATTTTTTTCTTAATTTTAAACTTATTTTTAAGAAGACTCCATTCAGTGCTATAATTACGATTTGAGTTTTCCAGTTTATAAGACACAAGCTTTAATTATTTGCATACTTAACTATTGATATTTCTTCATGAAGCATGAATATAAGCATAATTATTTTGTTCATAAATGACATATAATTATGTTTATTTTATCCTCGAAAAGAAATTTTTCTAATCATGAGGCGAAATTCCCCACAGTAAGTGTTGCCGTGTGCGTAAAACGAAAACGCTGCACACAACCCAAAAGTACTCCTCGGGGACCAATTGGTGCAAAACTGGGAAAAGGTTCATTGCTGTATATATTGTGGTCGAACGTTTCATCGTGGAGGCTGAATTTTCCGAGTGTGGTTCCAAAAATTCCTTCCTTGCCCACCCTGACATTGAAGTCGCTAAGCACGATTTTGATATTGGCGGGCGCAGCGCTCGTACGTGCGCTCATAGAAGAGATCCTTGGATACTTCATCCTTCTCTTCTGTCGGGGCATGAGCGCAGACGAGCGAGATGTTGAAGAATCTCGCTTTGATGCGGATTATGGCTAGACGCTCGTCCACCGGGGTGAACGCTAGTACTCGGCGACGGAGCCTCTCTCATCCAACGAATCCAACACCGAATTTGCGCTCCTTTACGTTGCCGGTGTAGTAGATGTCGCAAGGCTTCACGCTTACCTTGCCTTGCCCCGTCCATCGCATTTCTTGGATGACAGTGATGTCAGCCTCTAGTCTCATCCGAGGCTTTTCGTTCCTTTTTATTGGGCGGGGTGTTAACGTGGTAGAACCCGAACCCAGCACACGCGAAGTTTTGCGCGTTCTCCGTTTAGCTCGCTTCTAAACGGATGTTTGGTCGCTGCCCAGAGGATACGTGGATATAAATATTCGGACGTTTTGAGTTGCGATTTGAACCGTACGCACAAGAATTACTTCTGGCCACTCCGAGGTGAATGACAGTAAAAAGTTTTTCCCACTTACGTGGACTTCTGCATACGGAACCATCCTCCCACAAACACATTTTCACTTGCACTAAAAAATTGTATGTTATCAGAATTTTTTAAAAAGCCGCAGATCTCTCACCATAACATTTCTCTGTCTTCTCAGGCCCTTTTTGGTGAAAAACTTTTACGATCTAAATTTTTTCATGAAAGCGTGATTTTTAACACTATACATTATATACACTGCCGGAACAAAGTATTGGCACAGCAAATTTTTCACAATATATGCAACAGTTTTTATTCTAATATTTTTCCGCCAACTTTGTATAAAAATATGGTTCATCAACAAAAAAAAAACATAAAAATATAATTCTTAAACTTTGTGCAAAATTCGCGAAAATTCAGCAAATTTTTGATCAACTCAATTTCAACTTTTTAATCCGATTTTTTAGAATTTTTTTGAGTATGCAGTTTTGCAGCCCATAAAATTCTAGTAAAAAAATGCAAGTTCGGAGTTGGTCAAAAATCGCGTTGATTTTTGAGATTTTTTTTTTGTTGAAGGGGTTTTGCATTTTTTCCATATAAAGTATTTTGGAAAAAAAATTTTAAATGATTAAAAAGTTGAAAATTTTCATGAAAACTTGCTGAATTTTCGCGA